CGCAGAGTACTCAGCTAAAAGCTCCGCACTGCTGTCTTGACTTAGTCGATGTACTGGAAGTAAGAAGCTTGCACTTGACACCGATGAATTGAAGTGATAGCGAAAGGCTCTTTTGGATGCTCACATGGCGTCCTATGCCATTCGCTATGCCGCTCACGGACAGCTGCAAATGTCCAAAGCAACTGGCATCACTAGATTCTTACACTCTTTGTTTGACATTCCCTATTTCAAAGTATATCTGGCTAATGATAGACACATTTGAGCGCAATCTCAACAACTGTGCCCATCTCTTCCTGAAAAGAGCTTCAAATGCTGCCGAGAAAACTTCTTAGTTGAAGCTGATGCTTATTCTTGCCCTCGAAATACTATACCTGCAAGAACTATTTTTTTGGCCTGGAAGCTCATTTTCCCAGATTGCCCGGTAGTACACAAGCTGTCTACAGTCGCCTACGGGCAGTGTAGCCTGTCCCTGGCGATAGCGGTACCGCTGAAAGGTGAGGTAAGGCTGATGCTTCAAGCTGCAGGTCAACCTCTAACCTCTTTAACGGTAGAAACGACGATAGCTTTTAAAGGCGTACTTCAAAACGTGTCGAGTTGTATTGGCTCATTTAGAGTAATCTGTGCAACCATACTAGTCCGTGGTATGCTGGCATTTGATAACAGAGACCCAGACCAATCAGCCAGGTCCGTAGATGCGCAGAGTACTCAGCTGAAAGCTCCGCACTGCTGTCTTGACTTAGTCGATGTACTGGAAGTAAGAAGCTTGCACTTGACACCGATGAATCGGAAGTGATAGCGAAAGGCTCTTTTGGATGCTCACATGGCGTCCTTTGGCATTCGCTATGCCGCTCACTGACAGCTGCAAATGTCCAAAGCAACTGGCATCACTAGATTCTTACACTCTTTGTTTGACATTTCCTACTTCAAAGTATATCTGGCTAATGATAGACACATTTGAGCACAATCTGAACAACTGTGCCCATCGCTTCCTGAAAAGAGCTTTCAAATGCTGCCGAGAAACCTTCTGAGTTAAAGCTGATGATAGGTCTCGGTTTCGAAATATTATACCTGCAAGAACTATTTTTTGGCCTGGAAGCTCATTTTCCCAGATTGCCCGGTAGTACACAAGCTGGCTACAGTCGCCTACGGGCAGTGTAGCCTGTCCCTGGCGATAGCGGTACTGCTGTCTTGACTTAGTCGATGTACTGGAAGTAGGAAACTTGCACTTGACACCGATGAATTGCCAGTGATAGCGAAAGACTCTTTTGGATGCTCCCATGGCGTCCTTTGCCATTCGCTATGCCTCTCACTGACAGCTGCAAATGTCTAAAGCAACTGGCATCACTAGATTCTTACACTCTTTGTTTGACATTCCCTACTTCAAAGTATATCTGGCCAATGATAGACACATTTGAGCGCAATCTCAACAACTGTGCCCATCGCTTCCTGAAAAGAGCTTCAAATGCTGCCGAGAAACCTTCTGAGTTGAAGCTGATGATAGGTCTCGGTTTCGAAATATTATACCTGCAAGAACTATTTTTTGGCCTGGAAGCTCATTTTCCCCAGATTGCCCGGTAGTACACAAGCTGGCTACAGTCGCCTACGGGCAGTGTAGCCTGTCCCTGGCGATAGCGGTACCGCTGAAAGGTGAGGTAAGGCTGATGCTTTGGGCTGCATGCCAACCTCTTTACGGTAGAAACGACGATAGCTTTTAAAGGCGTACTTCAAAACGTGTCGAGTTGTATTGGTTCATTTAGAGTAATCTGTGCAACCATACTAGTCCGTGGTATGATCGCTGGAGCTGGCGTTTGATAACAGAGACCCAGACCAATCAGCCAGGTCCGTAGATGCGCAGAGTACTCAGCTGAAAGCTCCGCACTGCTGGCTTGACTTAGTCGATGTACTGGAAGTAAGAAGCTTGCACTTGACACCGATGAATTGGAAGTGATAGCGAAAGGCTCTTTTGGATGCTCACATGGCGTCCTATGCCATTCGCTATGCCGCTCACTGACAGCTGCAAATGTCCAAAGCAACTGGCATCACTAGATTCTTACACACTTTGTTTGACATTCCCTACTTCAAAGTATATCTGGCTAATGATAGACACATTTGAGCGCAATCTCAACAACTGTGCCCATCTCTTCCTGAAAAGAGCTTCAAATGCTGCCGAGAAAGCTTCAGACTTGAAGCTGATGATAGGTCTCG